AATTCGAGTTCGCGCGCTCGCTAAACACACGGGGCGTATGCGTGTCATAAGCGTTTCTTAAAGTGTTTGCTTCTTCAAGTTGTGCTTTGATTTCCCAAAGTGTTTGCTTCGCCCCTCCCTCTCATATCCCCCAACTACTCTATATTCGCATTCGTATTTGTTTTCACTTATTTCAGCCTGTTACTTTTCATCATCTTTCAGTGGCCGTTGGCAACAGTTTTCATTAATCAACGGCACGTGACCAAGTTTAGATTTTTAACCAATTTAATTTTTCTTTCTCATCTCTCACTCTTTCTCTCTCTCTCTCTTGGGGGCTTACGTGGCGTATGAGCGTTAAGCAAACAAACTCGATGGATTCTGTGTTTGTGTGCGTGTTTCTAGTAGATTCAATTAATTTTTGATGCCAGATAGTGTTTACTCTTACTCATGGGCTTAGCTAACACGCAATAGTGCAAACTCAGGACGTCGAAAGAAAAATGCGAGCTAAGAAATGAAGAAAAAGGAAATAAATTGTATATCATCAAATGAACAAAAAATTAAATGCAAGACAAAATCAACAGAAAGCACACACAAAAGGGCTGCAAACCTACGTGCGTCCGTGCATCTGCGTGTATATGTGCCTATCACCAAGGCCTTTCGCCAACTTATGAGAGTAAAAGCTAAGTCGGGGCATTGGGCAAATCTGAAAGGAAATTCGTAGCTTCAAATTAGAGTGCACTCTTCATCGGACCATTTCCTCCTCCTCCATTGACAAATTTCCAACCTGACTTGACTTGCAAGGTAATGGTACTGTTGCATTGTTTTTGTTACACATGAGCAGCAATAAATTCAAATTAGTCTGATAAGAATGACAATGGACAATGTGGAACGTGAAGCTGAGAAGCCAGAGATGACTTCCTGCTTAGCTGTGTACTCGCCTTTATTATAATTAACAAAAATTGAAAGGGCTTAATTGTGAAATTGTGCTTACAAAGCAAATGACGTTCATTAAGAAAAACAACAATAAACAAGAAAACGAGAGCGGGCAGAGAAGGGTTCGGCTAAGACACATGGGAAAAGTGCGCAGCTTCATGTTACGTTGTGTGCCAGGGTGTGGGTGTGGTGTGTGGGTGTATTTTATATAATAGACATTATCAACACTAATTCAGTTATGTCTTAATTATAAACTACTTAAGCGCGCCTCGCTGCGAGCATAGCAAATTTCTAAGTCTTTGTCTGCAGATTGGAGCTATGAGCTGGGGGTCTGGGATCTGAGGTCTGGAGTCTGGGTTCTCTGCGTCTGGGCACGTGTGACATTTGCTGGTTGGGGTCGTTGGCTCAGTTACAGTTTTTAGTCAAGCAGCTCCCGTTAGCTGGCTGCATAATTACCAAAGTTATATGTGCGAGTAGTTTTGATAGCTCCGATTACGCCGTAAAACTTTTGGGCCAAAGGGCGCGGGGCTGATGCCGCCGGCTAACAGACGACAAGCCAAGGAATGTGGGCAAAGCAGCACCAACTTAATTCCAAGCATCTTCAAAGCAGGGCTGGGCGCGTAGCTACCCCTTTGGACAGCCAACGACCGCTCGAAAGGCAACCGAGCAGCGAACTTTGATTGAAATATAAAATTTTAATGAGGCAACAACTGAAGCAGCTGATGCAAACAATACACAACAATTTTTCCTTATTGAGAGACGAATAAACAAACAAACCGAGCGAAATCAAAGTAAAGTCGCAAAACGAAACAACGCACAAGAAGCTTAAATCGACTAAAAGCGTGCGTGGGGGGAATGGCGCTAGGGGGGCTGGTGGCAACTTGGTAAGTACACAAGGTACTCACTAGTCTAGACGACTTATAAGGCATTTTAAATGCATGCTAGGGGACAAGAAAAACAGACAAAAGATAAACAAATCACTTTGGTTATAAATTGCCAGCAAGCGCCCTTCTATGCGATTCTCCAAATACTTTTTGAAATAGTTTGCAGTTTGTAGAGGTCTTCATATCGTTGGCTTGTGAATATAGTAAATTGATCTGATTTAATAAGTAAAAATAAGTAAAATAAATATTCAATAACTATAAAAATATTTAATGGTAAGGAGTTTAACAGCTGCAGCTTTTAGCTACTGCAAACATTATTAAGCACATTTATCCCGAGCTAAATCGACAATAGCCTCAGCTTCAAGTCTGTGGAAATTTGAGACCAGAGCAAACGGCAAACCCCAAAGAAGCATTTTTTCTAGTTTATGGCAAATGCCGGCGATTAAAATCTTGAATGTCAAGCAGAAAATTGTCAAACGAATCGTTGCTTTTGAGGATGATAATCAAGATGACGACGTTGATATTGTTGATGATGATGATGATGATGATGATGTTGTTGTCAGAAGGGCAAAAGATAGCAAACAAATAAAAACGCATCAAACGCCGCCAAGAGGCGAGCCAAAGCAACTTGGGCAAACGGCAAATGAAATATGAGTCTGAAAACGAGAGCAGGCGACGATGACAAACAAACCGCGGTGACAAAGATGACGGCCAAAATCAAAGACACAGCTGCAACCTGCAATTAAGCGACAGGACGCAGCCAGAAGAACACCCAGCACTAGGACCAAGTACAGGATATGCCATGTATGCCAGGGAGACGCCGCTCGAAAAGGGTGTGCAGTCTATGAAATTTGAGGCAGTATCAAAAAGGAATAATGCATATCCCTTTAAAGAGAGCGTTTTAGGGGCGAACTTCTTTGGCAAGGATATGCAAAGCGTGTGTCCCAGCGACGCCTTAGCACACATGTGTGCGCTGCGTGCTGCTGATCCTGAGGCGGCACTACAATGCGTGTACAAATAATTCGCACGACTAAATCAACAAACAGAAAAGCAAAAAAAAAGGAGCAGAAAATGTAAAAGGGAGCAGAAATAGGGGAAAACCTGAACGCTGAAGCCTTTGCTGCTGTTGCTGCTGCTCCTGCTTACATCCTGTGCAGCAAAGCTGAATAATTTTACGGTTTCAATTATCAAAGACCGAAACGTCAGGACAAACGGTGACAAAGCAAAAAGGTAGATGCTGCTCCCTATTGTTGTTGCTTGTTCCTCTCGTTGTTCCCAAAATAAAGGCGATTAGCATTTCTAAGCCTTAGATTACCTGAAGTAGTTTATATAACCCGAGAGCCGAAACGCAAGCCCAACATGAGACTAGGCTCGATAACAAGATTGTCCCGAAATAAAAAGAAAACACAGTTTGTTTTGTCTGTGTGTTTGTTCTCCTCCTTGCTACCCCCCTGGGCAATCCCTCGCATCGTCTACTTATCTCAAATGCAACCCTATAAAACCCTCGTGCTCCGCCTGCTGTTGATTTCATCAAACGCCCGACTGCATTCCATATAAAGGTATATATGGTTAATTTATGTCCTTAAATTGAATATTGCTTTCGATTTTGCTTTATTATTGGATTCTACTGTTAGGGTTTTTGTCCTACAGTTTGATTAACCGCAAATGAGCAGTTACCCCCTAAGAACTGAACGACTTCCACTCATGGACCCAGCCATGCACTTCAATAAATTTCAGAAAAATGTGAGTTAATAAATTTGATTAGACAGCATTTCTATTGACACGTTAAAAAAAGTTAAGAGGGTAATATTTAGAAAAATGTATGTCTATTAGATGAAAAATAGCAACAACAAAAATAAGGAAGGGGCAAAACTACTTGTATTCAGTACTAATATATATTAATTTCTAATAAAGTACATAAATTGTGCTTTTGGAACACTCTAGGGAGTCTATAAACTGTATTAACCCATATTACACTAGAGTTTTTTTAGTAAGTAAATTAAATAAATAAAAAAGACTAAGAGCATATTTGGTATAACTTTTGATTTTATTAGTTTCATAGTTGTCTTTACTTATCAAATATTTAAGTGAACAGCGCTAAATATATTAACAATTATATTAGTCACTTTGGGGCTCATAATTCTGAATGGGTTCTAGCTTCGAAATGGGGACAAGAGATTGCAAACCTAAAGTCGATTACAAAGTCTGCTGATGACAGAAACCCGAGCGAGCATAATTATGTAGTTTAATAAGAAAATAGATATCCTAAAATGTTTTTAGAGGCTTAAATTCTCTATTTATTTAACTTAACTTGTGTACAGTCCAAAAGTATTTCAGAATTTGGTTTACCTTTCTAATATTGTATCTGAACATTGTCATTCTTTATGGGCAGCTCACATCTCTCTAAAGCACCAATATGATGCCTAACTAATGTCTTCCTGCAATTACCTGCATAATGCCCGCCTTTCTGGTTAACTAAGTTTAGATTCAAGTTAAGGCCTCAATATGCTCAATTTTGTGCAGATTCTCAGGTCTGCGGACCATATATCTTTTAGTAATTTTGCGCGTTCATGTTGGGTTCGTCTGCGATTGTCTGTCCGCTAAGCTGCAACGTCCTAATTTACACTTGACTCCGCCTTGAGAGCCAGCAAGCACATTGGCGGTCACAGAGCCGCCGCACCACAAATCCGCACAGATCCACACAGGCTGGTGGTGGTGGTTTTATTCGAGTGAAAAAATTAACGCAGACACAAATTATATCTGGCGCTGATTAATCACTTAACAAGGCTTGTACGCGAGTATTTCGCTGATATTAACTACACACACACACACGGCCCACGTTCCGGCCAACAAGTTGACCTGCGTTCAGGGCAGCGGAAGGGGAGCGGGCCCAAAAAAAAAAAATAAAAGCCACGTCAATTTCATGCAAAGGTGCGCAGTCGTAAATTTAACTGGACGCGTAAATCCTGCGCGCAAATGTTTCAAGTTCGCGCCGACACTTCAGAGTCGCCTCTCGCTCAGCCCATACCCATTGCTGTCCAATTGTATTTATTTAGGGTCCGTCTGAGCTGCTTTCTCGCCCTCTTCCTCGCCCGCTCAGCTCAAGTTAAGAGTCTGCTGGCTGGTTGGCCGCGCTAAAATTTAAATTCATACACGATCGTTGGCCCCAAAAAGACTAATGAGCACAATTATGCATTATTGCAGCTCGTTGCATCGAAAATGAACTTTAACAAGCCTCACAACACACACTCGTAAACACACACACACACACATACAATCACACTTGATGCGCCGTCCTCAAAGCCGCAGGAGTGTGCACTGAGAACGGCAAACCGAGACGTCAACTGGAACTGGAACTGGTAGTGCCTTCACGTGGTGCGAAGGGAGGGCAGCGCGGAACGGTGCTGGAAAGTGTCTGCTGCTTGAGTTGGGTAAGTTGCACAAACTAGTTTCTTAGCATTTGTTGTTGTTGCTAGTGCTGTTTTATTTTTTTGTTTTTTGGCCAAAAAGATTGTTAATTCCATCATCTGAACTTCGCATTTGTCCAGTGCATATTTCAAGGTCTACTACGACAATAATTGGCAGCAATTTTAATTTGAGCTAGTTAAATGAGTTGCTGATGAGATGTAGATTGATTGATCAGCTAGAAATATGTTCTACAATTAAAACATGCGCTTGTTGAAGGAGCTTATAGTTTGCGGATCTGTATACAAAGGATATTCGAGCTATAGATCTAGCTGTTTGATAATATTTTTTAATTCGGTGAACCAGCTAATTAAATTAACCCATCACAATTTATATAAAAACCAGATATCAAAAAATTGTATTATTATTATTCAAATTTTTAAATAACACTTGCCACTATATACAAACACTAGCCTGGGGCCGAACCTTGTTCCTCGTTGCACAATTGCATTTATCAAGGAATATATTTTTCTCTGTTAATTAGTTCAAGTTGATTCAATGTTGAGTTGAAGGTGCTTTTTTGGGACCTTAAGACTTTAAATAGTTATTATTGCGAAGCTGAAGTAATATTTTTATAAATACTTTTTGTTAAAACACTGCAGGCGAAAATAGGCAAAAGTGGATCCATTGAATGAAGTCGCTAGTTCAAAAATGTCGAAAAATGCATGAAAACATATTTCGCTAGAGAATAGATTTATTTTTTCAACACTTTCAGCTAGAACCTTATGATAAGTGAATATGTAGTAAAGATATTTTCAGACAAAAGTCCTTTTTAGTCCAGTTCCTGTCGATTGCACACACAAACATTTTAAAGATATTTCGTTCATATTTTGATCATGAGATTTAGTTGGCTTGTGTTTCGAGTTAATTGCCAAAAAAAAAGCGTAACTTGTAAAATGAAGAGCATAGAAATTGATGTTGGCGACAATCGACTGCACATTGTGAGCCAAAAGATTTTTTTCGTTTTGCTGTTGAGGAAGAGGTCCCATACCATTGGAGATGTTATTTTAGATTATCTATGCTTAAGTCGGGCACAGCCACGGCGTTTAGGCCACAGTTGCTCGAGGCTGGCCAGAAGCTGCAGAGCTCAATGCGAGGCATTGGTATGCAAATGTAACGTGTGGTAAGGGGGGATGTGGATCCTATTTGGGGCGCTTGCCAAAAGTGTAACGCTCCGCACGGTGGCAGGGGTAGGCGGTTTTGTGTCTGGTCTGACAAATAAGGCTGTGGAAATTCATTTTTTTCCTGCTACCCCCTCCCTCGCCTGCTGCTGCTGCTGCTGCTGCTGCGTGCACATAAAATTCAAATCAATGACAAGACGAGGACGATGAGCATGAGTCTGAAAGAAGGAACCTGAGACGGCGGCAACATTTGCCTTTCATTGCCAAAATGCCAATTTGGCAGAAGAAGAAGCAGCAGCAGCAGCAGCAGCAGAACAGGAATCTTTTCTTTTTGTTGTTTTCTTGGGTACTGCAACTCCGTCTTGACTTTTTATGGCTTATAGATATTGTCTCAAGATGTCTGCGGCTGCCGGATAATCTTGTTATCGCGCCGCTCGTTGCATTTAATTGAGTAGCGAAACCAAGAAACTAACCTCAGAACTCGAGAATTAATTGGTATATCAAAGCATTTGAATTTTAATGTGTTTCGCGTGGTCAGCGATACAAGAATTTTTCTCTCTCGTGTTTTCTGCTGCTCGCGCTTTGTTAATTGGCGCTGCCTGTTTTTGGGCTGGGCGTGGAGCTGGGACTGGGCGTGGTACTCATTTCCATTCAATTGCACTTCAGTTGAGTTTCAATTGGTTCTGTTCTTTCATTCTCTCCATTTAATTTTTTATTTTTTTGGGAACACGCAGCTGCCGTTGACATTTCTGCCATTGATAAAGCGAAATTTTCCGAAAAAAGCGTTCTCAATATAATTCTAAGCATATCCAAATGTTATTCAATACTTTTTCCTTTGCATTCATCGAGTGCTTTCTTTGTAGGCACCAAGCGCCATTTTCTAATTTGCCTTTCAGCTAGTCGCTATGCAAACTCGAGCGTGGGGAGAGAGAGAGAGAGATTTAGCACTAGTGAGTCAGCACTAGTGAGTCAAAAGAGAGAGAAGGAGGCAAACAAATTTGTCGCATAATATTACAAAAGACAAAAGGTTCGAATGCCTCTCGATTTCTGTGCGCAATTTTTTAATAGAAATCTATGCCCGTATTTTCGTTTGACAACATTTCATGCCATTTGCTAGGTTTTTTCCCACTCTTCGTCTTCTCCATCTGATTCTTTTCTTTTGCATTTCCTTTTATATTTGGGCATTTCAATTGCCCTTTACCCTGTTTAGTCAGCTCGAACCCACTGCGCCCGGGTCCATTGTGAGCTGCTCTTTGATTTCGTCCGTTTGTGCCGCATATGCAGATTGAATTACACCACTTGATGCCACCATTTTAGCCAACACATTCCGATGCCCGATTCCATCATGCTCGTCGTTGTCGCTTGTCGATTCTCTAATTGTCCTGATAATTTCCAGCTTGTGCTCTCTGATATTCCTCTGGCGGGTGTCAATACTGCTTTTTTTGAGCTTTGTTTTTTGAGGCTCACATTTTTGGGCATAGGCATTGGCAAATGGGGTAGTTTAATTGTGACTGGCTTAGAGCGTTTTAATAATGGAGCATGTTAACAAGCTAGTCAGGAATCGTGACTCTACATACAAATTGTTTGCCAATCGAAAGCACCCTTTACATAAATTATGCCTTAAGTCTTTTCTGATTGGCATAGTTATAATAAAAGTACCGACAATTAGACTATTATATTCTACATTTCATTGACGGTACTTTTATTACAATTTCTATTCTTTTTATGGCTATGGTATGATGTCGTTATCCAGTAAAAGTTTTGAACCAAACTTTTCGAACTCGCAATTCAATTTTTATTTTTCAATATGATCCGAACCTCAATCCAAACCATTTGCAAAAAAAACAGCTGAACCGAACCTTTATATTTATAATATACATAGTTTGGTCAAAATATAATCTTTTGATGACGATTCTGCCCCAAAGCATAATTAACTTGGGCCCCAATCCTTGGATCCATCTAACCATATCTGTAAGATGCCAATTTTGAGTAGAGATCAAATCTAGCCCGCGGGCAGATACAAATTAACAACTGCATTGTTTCATAACCATTTTGCAAATATATGAAAAGCCAAGTCTCGAAATCAAACCGGATGTGGAAAACCATATTCAGAGTTCAGTATTCTGAATGAGAAAAATTCCACATATAGAGAGCTCTAAAATTACAGAGTGCTTGGCGTATGACCCTAATAAGTTCTACATGTACGCAACCAGAGAGCTGTAATATATCTGCCTTATCAATACTTGGTTCTTCCATGAATTTAATAACTAAAATTGTAAAAAGTTAAAAAATCCAGCTCTTTTCGTTTGTTACCTTCACAGCTTTTAACATTTCTTGCTTCTTCTGTCTCTTTAATTGTGGCGGCATTCCTTTCGGCACAAGGAAACATACTTTTGGCCAAGCTTCTTAGCAAGTTAATTTTTTTATTGGCAAAAGGCTTGCCGCGTTGAAGCAATGCCTTTAAGAGGCCACAACTGTCATGTCGTTAGGCCATTCCTGGCCAGCAAACATCTCGTTTAGGCGAGGGCCACCAAAAAATCATAATATTAAAAGAATCTGCAAATGACGCGAAAATGTTTCAACACTCTTCGACAAGCTGGCAGCCAGCAGCCAGCAGCCCGCTTCAAGCGGGCAAAAGGCCACAAAAGAACGAAAAATGTAATAATAATAAAAAAGAAAATTATTGCACTTCACATTCACAGTCATCGGACAGTGCCATCTTTTGCTTCAGGCCACTTCCAGGTCCACGTTCACGTCCAGGTCCTCATCATCAGCCTCGTCCTCCTTGTCGTCCTCGTCTCCTGTGCAGGCGGCATCAAAGATCGCGTTATGAAAATGCATCGCGCATTGCGCAAGAGCCGCAGACGAAACGGACCACTGGGCATATCGGGGAGATGGGATAGAGCCGGGCAGATGGGGCAGAAGATGGAGAGACGAGCAGTGGAATGGCAAATGGCGAATGGCGCTGCTCGTTCTAACTAGAAGGTGATATAAGTGGTTCGATTGTTGCCGCAGCCATCGCACACTGCAACAAGAGTCTCAAGAAAGGAACTTAAGTGTAGATTGTTATTTACAAAACGATTTGAGTTATACAAAGCAAACTGTCAAACTATATTAAATATATAGATGAGTTTGTCTTAGCCGACAAGTGAAGCTTCCTTTTGGGTCGAAAGTGAGATCTAAGACGGAGTTTCGAAAAATTTTAACTCAAAGTGGGGAAAAAGGTGCTCAAAGTAAATACGATTGCGCACTAACAAGCGAGAAGTCGCTGGTTCAACTCAAGCAGAAAATTGTCATTTTGTTTATTTATTATTGTTAATATTAAAAAAAAGCAGTAATAATTAAATAAAAGCAAAAACAGTAAATGGAAAATTAATTGATATAATGGCAATTTTAATAGGCCGATCGATTTAATTTATTTATTATATTTTATAATTTAATCTATTTACTAATAAGGATAAATTATATTTTTTCTACAATTCATTATTACAATTACTCATTTACTGTAGCCTTCACACTTTGGGTTCATTTCATCAGCACATCCTGCACTTTGCACCACTGTGCATTGGTCTTGAAGCGGTAACCGGGCTTGAAGTCGGAACCGGAGTCAGCGGCGCGTTAGCGCTAATAAGCAATTGCCAAATTACATTCGCGTGAGTAATCTCGCGCCCCGATGCCGGTCGCCATCGTCGTCGCCGTCGCCCCCTGCCTGTCTCTTGCTGCAGTTGCATCGCGGGCTTTTGGTGGGCGGAGCTTTTGAGCGCACCGCAAGCGCAGATACTTAAGTGATGCCCGCTGCACGTTGGCCGTTGTCCGTCAGTCAGTCAGTCCGTCAGTCAGTCAGGCACTCAGTCAGTCAGCCGGTCACTCATTCATGCCATCATTTATATCAGAGGAAGCAGTCAAGCTTCCCCAACCGAAAACCCAGCCAAGCTGCAATGTGCGCGCCTCTAAGCCTGTAATTTAATTTTTCTCTCTCGTTTTATTTTATTTTTTGTTTCATTTCAACAAGAAGAAGCACTTCTCTGCTCTTTGTAGCCCAAAGTAGTCGGAGTTAGTTAGCGCTGCGATCGCCATTTCTTCTGCCATCCCTTTTTCTTGGCCGGCTTCTCTGGGCTGGGTTCTCTTTTGGGCTTTTGGGCTCGGGAATGTCTTCCCTTTAACACATTTTGGCATGCAATTTGCTGAAATTAACTTCAATTGCAATTTGTGCTGCTGCAGTTGTTGTTGCCATTGTTTCATTGGGTTATCATTGCCGCATCTTTAATAGTATTTTTTTTGTTCTTTTCTTTCGAACTGACATGTGCATTTGGATACTTGGATGTGCGCATTAGAGTGGCAATTCGTGGTTTGAGGCTGTTTATAATTCGATTGGTGGTTCGCTGTGAAATGGTGCCCCCCGGTGGAGTAACTGTTAATGGCAACTGCAACTTGAAGAGCCAATGGGAAATGGTGCGAGCGTAGAAGATATGAATATTATGAGTGCGGGCAGAAATAATAGAACAATCGTTGTTTTTTTATTAATTACTTAAAAAAAAATTCTATTTTATTTTACTTATTTCTTATTGAACAAAAAGCTCAATATGCATTATATAAAATTTGCAAATATATGCTGGATTTCAAAACAGCGACTTCCCGCTTGCTAGTCCGACCGAAACACCTTTCCAAAAAACCCTTTTTTCTCTACTTAGTAGCTCAATAATATTTGTAAAACTTATTAAGTATGATATATCATTTATTTTTATTCATAGAAATTCGAATTTAAATATCATTCTCTTCCAGTATTCAATCGTATTCATATTTATCTCTGCACTATTATATTTAAAATGTTGTATTATTAACCCTGGCATTTGCTAAATTCTTCTATATGATTGACATGCCTCCGCCTCTTACAGTTCATCAAAAAAAACTCAAGTAGTTTAGGTTTTCAGCTCTACTCGAGCACAAGAACTGAACTCGATGACATTTGAGTGGAGATGTATTTCTAGCACTCAGTCAGCTGCGCTGTGGCCCAGCTAGCTGCGGAGGCCCATCATTAACTCGAGCAGTCAGTCAGTCAGTTTGTCTGTCTGGCTGTCATACTCGTACTAGGGCTCTGGCCGTGGCCCTGGCCAGTTGCCGTCTTGAGTGACGGCCATGGCCAACTGGACGCGGCCGCCGCGCATGCGCGTCAAGAGCAGCGACCATTCAACGCGTTTAGTAGACACCGTCGCTGAGGAGCAGAGCGAAGCAGCACAGAGCCAGTCGAAAAGCTGCAGCAGCTCCTTGAAGTGCATTGGTAGACGTCAGCGGCGTCGTTTTGGTGCAAAATGTTTGCGGCAAAACCTGCAATTACCATCGCCAGCTTTGATAGCTGTGCCCCGCCAGCCGCAACCCGACTGCCCGTCTGAATGCCGCATGATGCCCTGTTTAGGTTTTTAGGCATTTAGTCTTTGTTTCGACAGCATTTGCTGGCCAGGCCGACAGCCAGCAGCTACAAGTCGGCTCCAGTCGCAGTCGCAGTTGCAATTCGAACCCAATCCCATTGCCAATCCCTGGTAGTCTGGTAGCGCAGCAGTTGATATGTTGTTGAGTACTTTTAATTTGCATGCTGTTAATGGTGTTGCTTCATATTAGGCCAGAGCCGAGCCAGAGCCAGAGCCGGAGTCAGAGTCGAGGCCAGAAGCCAGCTACAGAAGGCAATCAATGCAGTTGTTTTTGTTGTCGTCGTCGTCAGGATGTTAAAGCCATTGAACTGCTGCACGTCTCGGTCTTCGTCTTCGTCTTGGTCTTGGTCTCCGTGTTGGTCTGCGTCTTGGTTGCTGTTGCCTTTGGGGTGCAGAGCTGGCATATTAATGGCAGGATTGAAATCAAATGTTGCCAGGAATGCTGCACAGACTCCAAAATAGACGTAATGGAGCGAAATTGTTTTGCGATTGACTTTTGTAATAAGAATAAATGCTGATCGCTTATGACGTAAATGGTATAAATATTAGTTAAGACCCACTTTCTTGACTCTGCAGAGTTTTACGAATGGGAGATAAATGTTCATTTCTAAAAGGAACTTTCAAGGGTGGGGAACATATCTACATAATAATTTAATAGAAAAATATACATTTTGGTTACAACTTACAACGTTCAAGCAAGGAATTATAATTGACCTCATTCCTTATGACAGAATATGAATTCTTTTCAATTTGTTCGAGCCCAACTATCTTTCTTTTGTAATTGTATTTTGAGCATACTTATAAAAATGACTTCACTGTCTAGCTATCTTTGGTATCGGTTTGGCTTTATATAGTTTTAATGGGAAAAACCTCAAAAAAATTGTCATTGGCTAGGTTTACGGCTCGTGTTATGAGTTGGGTTTTCATACCATAATCTCAGGATTTGCAGCAACCCTTGGATTTTCATTGAGCTTATATATCATATATTAAACATTTTTTTTTAAATTTTATATTGCCCGTTCGACTGAAAATGCGTATATCATATATTTACGTAGAGAAGTTGTGGGGTAAATTTGATATCTACACTAAATTGGCCGTGAGTTCCTTACGTAATGATATTGGGTCTGCCTCACAAGTGTTTTATTTCGAACCAAAAATAAAATATACCTCGGGTTGGGCTTCGATTTGGTATTTTTTTTGGGCAACTGGTTTCGCATCACTTTAAGAAATAAAAGGCAATTCCAGGATCAAAAGTGGTTCGTAGTCTTAGTCTTAAACTGAACTGGTGGATTCGGTATTTTGAACTATCAAATTGTGTAAAAGAATAAAGGTTATTGATGTGTGTGGGCGGGCATAGAAAATAAAGTTCCAGTAATTGTCAGAAACAGACAGAAGGCAAAAGTGAATCACGTAGGTGCAACACGAGTTTCGTATTCGTGTGTGCATTGTAAGTAAATGTGAATACGTTTTGCCAAGAAGTAACCCAAATAGACTTCAGAGACAGGACAGACTTGTTGTGGCTGCTTACCTGCCGCCTGTTTGTCTTTAGCTGTAACAGCTACCGCACAATTTCCCAAATGACAAACATGCCAAAATGGTTAGAGCCATAGACAATGGCAACAAAGGCAGCTAAAGAGCAGCAAAGGGAGACGGGCAGCAGAGACAGCAACAGCAGCAGCCGCAGAAGCAGCAGCAGCAGGCCAAGAAGAGAAACAGGAGCTGGCAGGAGCAGCAGGCGGCAAACGGCAGCACATTAATCACAATGCTCCAAAAGAGCTTGACAGCCAGCTACATGGAACCGCTCCCTGGGTGTCTCGAGACTGAGTTTTCTTAGCAAGCGATATATATGTGTGTGAGTGTGTGTGTCTGTGTGTGTGGCATCCTTTGGCATAATTCTTATTCAATCGGTAAGGACAATGCCATGTTGTAGTTTCAATTTGCGGTGGGCATGAGATTTGTGCCAAGACAATTGCCAAACAGGAAGCCAACGAAAGACACAACGACTCCCGACTGCCGACTCCCGACTCCGAATCCGGCGGCCATCAATTTAAAAAATGAAAAATTTCCCTTTTTGCTTTTGCCGGCGTCCGGAAAATGGAAAATTAAATTAACCTTTGGGAGCTGGTGCCGCCTGCTGCTGCTGCTGCCAAACAATGTTGCTGTCTGTGCTGCTCCCGATAGCATCTACTGCCGAAATATGTTAATTTTCAATTTAGTAGTTTGGCCTCAGACTCGACAAATGCTATACATATATACATATGTATATGGTATATCTTGGCTGGTTTTTAATTCGCTTTTCTTTTCCAGAGTTTTGGGCTCGCCTTATTAAGCGCACTAGAGCGCAACGGTAATGGGTACCAAACAAATTATCACATCTGCTAATCTGCTGCATATCATTCCGTATTTTCGTAGACCCCCCGCCCAATCCCTAGTCTTTATGAGGAGGAAGTGTTTTCATGTTAGTTGTCGAGTTCATAAACAATTTGTTGACCACATTTTGATGTTGAGGAAATAATTAAGACATTATAAATTATTTGAGGCCTCTCGAGTGTTGATTGTTAACTTGCGGTCTTTTGGGTTTCTGATTCTCGAACAGGCTGCTTGCTCTTGGCCTCTCCCTCTCTCTCAATTTTACTCTGCAAT